ATAAATTTATCTTACTGAATTATACCTATCGAATGATATTTTCGCTCCTTAATCCTCTCCATTAGTGCTAATACTTCTACTATCTTTATCACTATGTGATTTAAACTGACATTTGCATCTCTGTTCTGATGTGGTATGACAACCTGAACTGATGTACTTACGTACGAAGTTCTGCGTTGTATCTGTCTGTTCTGTCTGTCAAAGAGAGGTTAAACATGTAAACCAACAGATACTGACCTAGTAGTCTAGCGAGTAAGTGTTCGTCATGAGCAAAGTGAACATGCTCTTACACACTCAAATAGAAATCACCAAGATAAAAGAGGATAGTTAGCAAGGTCAGGAGACGTGTGCATAATAACTCGATAAGATTGTATTGATTAAATTATTCAAAGGCTAAGTCAACCCCTGTGAGCTCGACATTTTAGTACAGTTACTACAATTTTCATTTATATGCCTGAATGCTATTACGAGTTCACCTTACTCGGTAACGGATCGAAAAAAAATGATGCAGTGACACGACAGGCTATTCTAATCCGTTTGTCCTCAGCTCGGCTAACTATATCAAGAAGCCTTAATAAGGCGTAGAAAGTGTATTCTACAAGCACCCCGAAAATATGAGGTACACAAGCACACAAATCAAGTTTATCAATACACGATAGAAACGCTCTTGGCAGAGCCACAAATTAGCGTACTAAAATAATCCATCAACCAATGGACAGTCAAGGATTTTCCGAGTGGGAAACGTAATCTCAAGATCAACTAAGCGACTTGTGAGCGAAAACATAAAAAAATCCAAAAATTAGGACTTTTTTTTCCAAGTGAGTTTTGAGGATCTAACGTCCGCAACACCTATGGTAAGATGAAAGATCTACTCAACATTTCCTAGTTTTCAATTCGCTTTTTTAAAAAATAAAACTAAGATCAATCAGTCAATGATAATGTAAAAATTACAAAATCCCTAATTCAAAATGGTTTTTTCTCTTTCTTTTTTTCTTGCCGATATCATCGAAAAAAAGGCTGACAGCATATCTGGAACCAAGTCGATTACTTGAATATTTCGCTTATTTAGGTTTCAATTATTATGAGGCTGCATCACTGTGGACATCAATTGTAAATAGTGATTATGATCAACATGATAATATCACACTAACTGGTAATAATAAGCCAACACATTTCACTACATCATCATCTTCACCGTCCTCGTCAGTTGTACATAAAGTATCTGGTCTAACTGAATCACAACTATTTACTTCACATCGTTCTAATGTTGTAAATAGAACATCTGATAGTATGAATGTGACAACAACAAATGAAGCATTATTAAAAGCCATACTCATCACTAATGATAGACGTATCGATGCAATACGTCGATCAACTAAACGTACCGTTTTCTATTGTCGAGTTTATGGAGCTCGTAAAGTTGGCAAAGTAAGTAAATATCATTGTTGTTATACATGAATATGTTGTTTGTTCTTACGATTTATTTGTACTGTATTGTCACAGTATCAAGTAATTTCCGTGATAAAATTTGTTTGTCAGACATACTAGGTGTAACGTATCTGGCTTTATTAATACTATTGTTACGAATGCTTGTAAACATGTCAATTTGATAAAGTTGAATTATTATTACGAGTTTACCTTAGTCGGAAAACGAGAGCGAGGATCGAGGATCCGGCGACACGACCTGCTAATCTAATCCGATTGTCTCAACCCCCCATTGAGTAAAAGAAGAAGACTTGATATGAAGTAGAACATGCATTCTACAAGCATCCAGAAAGTAAGAGGTCCGAGTCCAGAAGAGAATCGGCATCTCGAACTAGGGATCCCGGGTTCGGGTCATAAAACGTTACAGATAATGCGTATTTATACAGTTAGGTTGAATAGGAAACAACATTGAAGTCTGTGACATTGACAGTTAGGACGACCATAATATTGACCAGTAGAAATTAACCAATAGGAATCGGCCAATAGAATTAGACTGACAAATATTGGATGAATATCCTAACGCTAGTCAGTATGTATTCGTAATCTAACAGGAAGCATAGTTTAATTTAACAAACAATCGTTGAACCAAGCGGGCACCAAGTAAATATCCACCACAATGAAAGTTATGTTTTGACAAGTTAGTGTTAAGGGGAGAAATTACAGCGGGCCAGCCACTGGCCTGTATTCTGAGCCATGTTGATAACTTCTTAAGTCACTACGTAGCACCATTTCTAGGACCCAGTCAGGCAGTCATGAAGGACTAACAGATGACGGTCCTGTACAGCCTTCTCTCATACTAAGGCACGACGTCATACACTGATCACCTCTCTACGTTTTCGAACCAGTCCCAGCGTTTGCTAATAATACGCGATGTGGAATTCGCTGAGACGACATCCGTAGTACATTTCAAAACTTCCGAAGTCAGTGTTTCTAGATAGTGACACCAACTAAGTTGTCTTCTTCATGCTCGAACACATGTTACCGAACCTCCGTGTTATTACCATGGTGTTGCCACTAAATGTCAACAATTCTTCACAGACAACAATGATCAAATGGAGAGAGTCACTTAAAGTCCAATAGACCAAGTTTCACAATAATAGAATAAAGCTACTCTCACTGATGTATTGAATTCCTGACCTTTTACAGGTAGACTAACATTATGAAGGCACCAAAGATAGCTCAAACTGAGATAAACCTCTCTGTCTTTTACTATAGAAAATACAAAGCACATAACCTTGAGCTTGTTTTGATTGACTAACCGATCGATCCATTGAATTCCATATTTAAGATTGGTTATACGCTTTGATATTTTTTTTGATCATAAAGACTATCTTTATTGTTCATATGAAATTTATAATTGAATTATTTTCCATAAACTAATCATCTAATTGATAGATTGAGTTCACATTTTGTATTGAGTATTGAATGCCTACTTTTTCTAGATAATCTATAAATTTATGACAAGTGTTTAAAAATGAGATTGATTCAAATCGTGTTACTATTTTGACAAATGAATATTACATTTCATTTACTGTCTTTTTACTCTCTCTCTCTTTATAATTCCTATTAATAGTGTGTGTGTGTGTGTGTGTGTGTGTAGTGAAGATTTCTTCAAAGTGATGTTGGCATAAAACTCTAGTCAATGCGTTACTTGCAAAATATTTTGTGTTATTCTACAAGAATACCTTGCTTATCAGTTGTTGTTGTTGTTAATGTTGTCGCTAGATGTTTGTATTTAAGAGAGAGAGAGAGAGAGAGTAACAATAGTAACACGTATATCAGTCAGATAAGGGAACGTGAATAGAGTTAGTTGTGGAGAGAAGAGAGGTATGTGTGGGTGTAGGAAGGATTTGATTTTGACCAAATTAGTCTCTCGTGCTGTTACGGGTATGAGGGCGGTTATCGTTTCCCGGCTGCCCAAACCGTGGAAGGTTGTTTCTTGAGGGACCTGAAAAGGAAGGTAGATTAGTGTCGGTCTTGGAGACCTGGGAGCGTGACCGCAGAGTCCAAAGAACAACTGATTGATGCCGGTCACGCACGGCCTTTTTATGAAAGGATTTTTGAGTGTTAACTCAGCTCTTAAAGGCCCTTAGTGGGCACCCTTACTGCCGAAGACGGAAATCCGTGAGGTAGGGCGGTGAGGTGTGACATTTTTAGGGTCGACCTTTTCTAACCCTTCCTTCCTTGTTAGAAGGCAGCATCTCTGCAGATGCTGGTTGTTCGAGGGAAACACCTTACTGCTGTTACACCCCTCTGTAGTCAGCAGTACGACTTCGCCCTCAGACCTTGGGTAGCTGCTTTTAGTCTCATCGTTCTCCAATCGACCTGCCTGGCATGGTAGGACCTTCATGAACATATATTCCAGCCAATATAGCTCGGTTGGGTCATGACGATAGGCAAGCCCGACCACCACGTCAAGGTAGCAGCTACGGTCGGGAGTAACACATATAACAAAGTGTTATATTGATTAGTTGATTTGATTCATTTAATACAACTGGAAATCATTATTGATTCATTGTATATATTTTCCAATCTGTATCATAATGTTGGCTTTTAAAATGAATATGTCATTTTAGTCGAAGAAGTGTTTGAGTTGTTTGACATTGTATTCAGAAATTATCACAGTTCAGTTACTCAGCTTGTAGTTGAGAATATTGTTATCAATTGACAATAAATTCACTTTACTCAAGGCTTAAACTTACTACCATGAGTAATAAAAATCATTTTTAAGACAATAATATTTGAATCATCTATAGTTCACATAACAGACGAATCTTTGTTAAACAATCAAAAGATTAACTACTTCACCGACTAACCTGCTGCCATCCTTACGTAGTGTTAGGATATTCATCCAATATCCTAAGAGAATTATTGGTCAGTTCCTATTGGTTAATTCCTACTGGTCAATTTTATGGTCGTCCTAGATATCAATGTCACATACTCCAATGTTGTTTCTTATTGGTTGTCCTAACTATCAATGTCACTTCAAATGTTACTTCTTATTGGTCGTCTTAACCGTCAATGCCACAGAATTCGATGCTGTTTTCTTATTCGACCAAAATGTATAAATACGCATTATCTGTAATATTTTATGACCACGACCATGACCAGGGCTCGGTCCCGGATCCCTAGTCCGGGGTCATGATTCTCTTCTGGATTCGGACCTCGTACTTTCTGGATGCTTGTAGAATACATGCTCTACTTCATATCACGTCTTCTTATTTTCACTCAATATGGGGGTTGGGATAATCGGATTTGAGTAGCATGTCGTGTCGCCGGATCCTCGCTCTCGTTTTCCGACTAGGTAAACTCGTAATAGTTCAAGTATATCAAGTTGACGTGTTTATGTGCAGGCGTAACACGTAGTATCTGGATCTTAACAACAGCATTACTTACTCGATTGTCCCATGATATGCGAGCAATGCTTCAAAGGCACCAATGGTGGAAAACCAGTAACCTGCAAATGTCCTCAACTCTCACTAACCATGTTTCACAGCCTTATAGCAGGACGGAGCGGACTGCTGGACAGTGTATTCATCCTTTAATTTAGCCTACGCCATAGGTGACGCAAATTGACAAAAGCCAATCGAGCCTTCTGTTACCGTACCGAGATTTCGTCAGCACTGATGAGATCCCCAAAATAAGTGAAGTGATCAACACACTTAACTAATTCACTCCCTATCACTGTAGTTCAGGTGCCGATACAAGCCAATCTTGAAGCAAGATTTTGCATTTCAAGGTGTAGAATCACAATCCAACTTCTATTTGTAATAATTGTTATCAGTCAACAATAAATTCACAATACTTAAGGTGTTTACATTTACTACCATGAATAGTAAGAATTATGATTAAGACAAAAAATAACTGAATCATCTATCATACACACAAAACAGACTAATCTTTGTTAGTTTGAAGATTAAACTTTGGACCTTTTTGCTGCAGTCTTGTGACAAAAACACTAAACACTGAGTTGTCAAATCAATGCACAATTTTGTATCAACACGTTTTTTATTTCTATTCACTTAATAATCACTTCTTGCCTTGTTGTTTATTACTTTTTTTACACACTGTAGACATGTTTCATGCAAGGTTTACTTGGTCGTAGTTTGCACGGTTCCGGTGGTACGGGAATCGGTGGTGTCACAGATTCTACATCGAATTGGGTCGCTGCATGTGGTCTGCCAGTTTATGGTCAATCGAAAACTTTATTAATGCACGAGATCAGTGCTAGTGATGGTGAACAAATGTCAGCTAGTGAAGCATTAGCAAGTGATGTTGCTTGTTTAGTATATGATGTATCCGATGCAGATTCATTTCATTATGTAGCTAATATATTTCTTGTAAGTTTTTGTTATATGCATTTGCAAACACATAATTCATTCAGTAGTTGATTTTTGTAATAAACTGTTATGCATGCACGTAAACAGGTCAATTTTTGATATGATTGAACAAGTTTACCTTAATCAGTAAACGAGAGCGAGGATCGAGTATCTGGCGACACGATATGCTACTCTATTCTGAGTGTCGCAACCCCTCATTGAGTAAAAGAAGAAGACTTGAGATGAAGTAGAACATGTATTCTACAAACATCCAGAAAGTAAGAGGTCTGAGTCAAGAAGAGAATCAACATCCCGAACTAGGGATCCGGGTCCGGCTCATAAAATGTTACAGATAATGCGTATTTATACAGTTAGGTCGAATAGGCATCATCATTGAAGTCTGTGACATTGACACTTAGGACGACCAATAGGAAACAACATTTGAAGTGATACTGATAGTTAGGACAACCAATGGGAAACAACATTGAAGTACGTGACATTGATTGCTAGGACGACTAAAATATTGACCAGTAGAAATTAACCAATAGGAATTGACCAATGGAATTAGACTTACAAATAATTCTCTTAGGTTATTGGATGAAGATCCTGACATTGACAATTATGAAATTATGGCTAGTCTTGTTTTGGGCTCGTTATCTCCATGCTAGCTTTTGATACTTGTGACTTGATAGTGGCTATATTGAGGCAATCCGTCCAATAAGTCTATTTGCTCTAAATGAGATTGATCAATCGTAGTTCTGTTCATCAATGAGAAGATTGAAACTACCAATGCAAATGAGGATTATAATACAAGTTGGTATAGAATAGATAGAATGTGGTTGTTAGGACAGCTCCCAGAAAAAGCGTCAAAGCCTTCAGAGGCTCTAAAATAAGCCGATGAGATCCCATCCATTCTGAATCAGAGAGAATTTCTAGAATATCGTCGACATGGCATGCTATGATTAGACAGTTGTATGGAATTTTTGATTTTGTAGATTATTAGGTGAATTATAATGGTGCTTTCCGACTATACCAAAACATTATAGATATACCTATAGGTTTGTAAACACCTCTCATGATTTCTTCGGACCTTTTGATTTGTAACTTTTGGGCTCTTCACATTCAAGTACCAAAGTTGTGTGCTGCATTAAGAGTACTGAAATAGCAAACATGTCTAGTACTAGTGCGTCTCATCCAATTTGATCTTGTCAGTCGCAGATGTACCTGCATGTAAGAGTTAACCTTCACCTCAGAACTCGAACCCATCTATTAAGAATTACTTGATAAATTCATCCAGTTTTTATATGTGATTTTTCTGATGTTGTTTGTGTTCACTGTACTATTTTTGATCTAATTGTCTTTTAATGAATAAGTCAACGGTAGATAACTGTATAAAATGATTAATATACATAGTATAAAATGTTGTGTAAATATTTGTGTATTTGAATGGAAACTGGAGAACTTTGTCATTAGCTCTGTGACACATTTAAAACAACGAAATACGAAACTTTAGTTTTTTATAAACTGATTAATAGTTACTGAATTAATTCTGTGGTATATTGAGCCAATCAAAAATCGATAAAATAATTCAATGCTCGCTATTGGCCAAATCTGACTTGCATTTCTACGACGTGAGACACTCGCCAGTGATGACTTTATTTTCTAAATGGACTTATATATATATAGATATATAATAATGAATGATTGTACAAAGATTCCCAAGTCAATTTAGTCGATCAACTTTTTTCTCATTCAAATAACTGGTTGTGACCAATTCGATCTCATGTGCTGTTACGTGTATGAGAGCGAATGTCACTTCCCGACTGCCTACACCGTGAAGGGTTATTGCTTGTGGAGCCTGAAAAGAAAGTTGGATTAACGTTGGTCTTAAAGACCACAGAGCCCAAGACACAACTGCCTAAGGTCGGTCATGCACTGCTTTTTATAGTTGGTTCTTAAGGTGTTAGCTCCGCTCATCAAATGGCCCTACCGCCAGAGACGGAAATGCGTGAGGCAAGGCGAGGTGTGACATTTTTAGGGTCGACCTTTTCTAACCCTTCCTCCCTTGTGAAAAGGCAGCATCGCTGTAGATGCTGGTTGTCCGAGGGAAACACCCTAGTGCTGTCACATCCCTCTGCTGTCAACAGTACAACTTCGCCCACAGATCTTGAGTTGTTGTTTTTAGTCTTAACATTCTCCAATCGACCTGCCTGGCATGGTAAAACCTACAGAAATATATGTTCCGGCCAATTTAGCGCGGTTAAGTCATTGTGATAGGCAAGCCCCGACCATTACGTCAAGGTTAGGTTGGTTGGGTTCGTGTATAAGAAGATTATGTATCAGTATTGAAATTCGAATGCAAAAATAAATAAACTCAGTAGTTTATTGACAGTGTAATGCAACAAATTTTCTATTTTATTTTGTTATTATTATTATTGTTTAATTTTTTTTTTAGAATTTTTATCGTGGTACACGTGTACCATGTCTGTTTGTTGCAGCTAAATCTGATCAATTACCTGTTCTACAAAATTATCCAATTGATCCTAGTGAATTGATTACAAAATATCATTTACCACCGATTGAATCATTTTCTAGTGTGAATTTATCACAAAAACGTCAACAATCATTACGACCAAATAATTCATTTACTCATTTATCTGATGCTACTACTACTACTCCTGGTACTACTACTACTAGGACGACTAAGTGTAGTGGTGATATACCTGATGATATCAATACTCATGCTACTACTACTACAACAACAACTACTACTACTACACCGTTTCCACGAAGACGTCGCGCCGGTTCAGCTGATCCAATTTCTCCATTCAATGATAGTAATAATAACAATAATAATAATAATGATTTCAATAGAACACCACTTCATTTACAAGATTCTACATCATTAGAACATTCATTAAATCATGATTCACATGTCATTGCAAATCAGTTATCATCATCATCATCATCATCATCAACTACTGGTAAACATTATTCACGTGCTGAATTACATCATCATCATTTACGTAATCAACAGAATTCGCATTTTGCTCCTGTATACATTATGTTGTGTACAATGGCAAATTATCCGTAAGTTAATGATTATGAGTTAGTTGAAAAAAAGGAGTCTGACAAAATGCAGAGTCTTCTGACTACCATAAGCAATAATGCCAAGCATGTTTGGGATGCGGTTCTCATCATCGAAATGCAAAATGTTGCTTCAAGACTGGGTTGCATCGGTGGCACTTGAACTACTAGTGGTAGGGAGTGAAGTGGTCGAGTGTGTTGATCACTTCTATTATCGGGGGAATCTAATCAGTGCTGATAGCCTGATGACTGACGATATATTAACGCGGATACAGAATGCTCGATTGGTTTTTGCCAACCTTCGTCACTTCTGGCGTAGGCGAGATATCCGTTCGCTAACCAAAGGACGAGTGTACTGCGCAGCAGTTCGCTCCGTCATACTATACGGATGCGAGACTTGGCCGTTAAGAGTAGAGGACTTCCGTAGGTTACTAGTATTCGATTATCGATGTCTCCAAAGCATTGCTCGTGTATCATGGGACAACCGAGTAAGCAATGCTGTCGTTAGGAAAAGAGTTCTAGTTAGGGATGGCAAATCAATAGATGAAGTAGTGAAACTTCATCACTTGAGGTGGTTGGGACATGTGTTACGTATGGCTAACCACCGACTGCCTCGACGAGGTATGTTTTGTGGTGTAGGGTTAGGTTGGAAGAAAGCTATTGGCGGTCCGGCCAAAACGTGGAAGAAATCCATGAAGTCACTGACGAGTGGACTGAGTCATGTTGATAAATGTAGGCTACTTGGTTGGGGTCCGTGAGACGAAAGTCACCAATTGTTAGAGACCTTGAACGACATGGCTCAAAATTGTTTGCAATGGCGCAAGTGCATCCATTCTTTGTGCTCTCTCAAATCCTAATCTTCTGGATTCGTCAGCACCTCTACCTTTGTCTTTCTAACCTTATCTCACTGAATTATACTTCTTGAATAATATCTTCGAGCCCTAGTCTTCTTCGTTACCATTATTACCTCTACTATCTTTATCACTATGGGATTTGATTTGACGTTTGCGTCTCTGTGCTCATGTGATATGGCAACATGAACTTATGTACATACGTATGAAGTTCTTACGTTGCAACTGACCTACTGACTGATCAGTTGAACAAATACAGATTTTTAATCATTCAACATAATTCAGATCAACAGTTAGTGAATTCACTAACTAACTGATGGATGGATGGATATGTCTTGATCTATTTGCTTCTGGTGTTTCGCTAATCTTTTTTATTTCAATCATCATCATACAAAAGAAAAGTCATATAAAATGATTAGACTTGTTGTCATTTCGTTGTCATTACCTTAGTTGATAAATATTTACTTGTACTTATCGTCTGGTTTCTTCATATTCATGTGGTGCGCGCTACTTATAAGTAGTATATGACGCGAGTGAAAACATAATGTCTGGCAGCAGAAGATGGGGGAAAGATCAAGAAAGGAAGAGTGGGAACACAATGGAATTTGTATGAAACCTATGAATAGTGAAATGTCAGACAATAGATTGAAGATTTGCAAATTAACGGTTTACGATATGTTTTTCCTATTTTACTGAGTAACTCTGTAATTTCCGATGAATACAATTCGGTTGCCCTCACTTGTGTTCTCCTTCACTACATTCACACCCTTGTTGGTGGTGTATACAATCGTAAACTTGAGCATTGCTTCTTGACATGTGTTACACATGTCTAGCTTCTATCTATTATGACGTGAGATAGTTACTGACAAAGTCAGTCAGTCAGTCAGTCAGTAAGTTACAATGTAGAACTTCGTACGTAAGTACATCAGTTCAGTTTACTATACCAAATTTTGCATAGAGACTCAATTGTCAGTTTAAATCCCATAGTAGTAGAGTTAGTAGAAGTATTAGCGGTAATGGAGAAGATTAGGGTTCGAAGGCAGTCAGTATTCAAGAAGAGTAATTTAGTGAGATAACTTTAGAAAGAAAAAGATAGAGATGATGAGGAATTCAGAAGATTAGAATTTCAGAGAAAACAAAGAGTGGATGCACTTGCCCCGTTGTAAACGATATGGTCTCTAACCATTGATTACTATCGTCTCGCGAACCCTAACCAGGTAGTCTGCATCTGTCAACATAACTCAGATCAGTTTTCAATGACTTCATGAATTTCTGCCATATTTTGGTTTGGCCGGCTCTATCTGTTACTGACGTAGAATAATAAAACAAAGTTTATAAAAGTGATTGAACTTAAAATGCAACATCTGCACAGTACATGAATTTACTAATTCTTTAGCTAACTTTCCATTAGTTTTCAATATTGTAAAACGTAATAATAATAATAATATTGTAGTTCGTAAATTTACATAAATTAACATATTTAATACAATGTAATTGAAAACTCTCCCCGCGTTTTGTTTTTTTTTTAGGCATCATCGTGGATTTGATTTAGCTCGAACGGATTATGCATGGAAATGGACATTGGCATTCACTATTATGACAGGCATTGGATTTTTTGCATTTCAAATGGTCAAAACTCACTTGTAGTATATATATACATATTCATCATTATACATACTTCTTACTCTTCCTGTATATTATTATTATTATTATTATTGTTATTATTATTATCTCCAAAATTCTTTTCACCTGTCGTCTTAACTCTTTTCCACTCTTTTTTTTTATAATCTTTCGCTTCAACACAGTTATAGTTTTTAAGGAGAAAAAAAAAAAAGAAAGCATATTACACAATGTAATAAGTTATTCCAAAGATTATTTATTATTCAATACTGACATTTAATAAACAAATGTCATCACTTATATATATATAAATCACGATTTATGATTGGAAAGTTGAATTTCCATTCAAACTGTAACAAATTTACATGGATGTTAGTTGAACACACTAAAAAATAGAAAATATTGTCAAGATATGGATATTCTTTTCATTTGCAATACTCATCGGTCGTTTCCGAAGCGTCTTGTTTATCTATTTATTTTTGATGTAGTTGCGTGAATGGGTCGGATCAAAAGGAGGTTTAACATTACCTTAAGATCTGTAGTGTTAAGTTATTTTCCGCCGATTTATTCGTTAATGATAGAGTAGGATTTAATTTGTCCTACAGATGTACTTCTAGAACTGCAAACGCAATATTGGCGAACACAGAGTCTATGGGGAAGCTGTAGTCAGAACAGGACCGATTTTGCTTTAAACTTTATCTGTTTCGACCAATATAGCGTGTCTTATGGAAAATGAATAAAGTTATGAGTCACATCAGTATAATAAGATAATAATGTCCTTCAATTTGTAGGTCATTTACAACAAGAAAAGTTTACAGACACGTCAGACCAGATCACGTGATGAGCGCTTAAACGACAATTTGATTGGTTAGTTATGGAAATAACTAACAGATAGGGTTTTTGTATCAGCCGGTTTTCGAGAGTCAGTATGTATGACATCTTTCGCTGGTTTATTATATTGCCACAGACTGTAAGTTTTAGCGCTCAACGCTTAACAACTTTGAATATGGAATATACAACCAGTCATTTGTAACTGATGTACAGATAAACACCAGTCATATTGCATAAAAACGATTATGAACTATTGTGGTTGGAATGGTAGTGAACTTAGTACATACGTACATCAGTTCAAGTCACCTTATCACATTAGCACACGGATGCGACTGTCAGTTCAAATCTCAGTTATAGATGAAGTAGCGGTATTAACAATAATGGAAAAATATTAGGTCTAAACATTGGGAATGTTGTGACTGAAATCTAATCAGTCTTGTCTGACATGTGGGGATCCTATGCAGATTGCCTCAGTATAACCATCGTCATAAACTTATACAAAACAGATAGAATATGACTAGTAGTGGAATACAGGACTTGTGTTTCGTTCTGGTTTGAATTTGTCAGCTGGTGGTACATTTACCTCGGAGTTAATGTTGACTTCGGAGAACGATCTGAGTACCTTTTGCTTCAAATGCCATCGCGTTATCGACTCAGCTAGTTATTCCGGATGGTTTGCATATGTTGGTTGCAGTTTAATAGCGAAACAGAGAAGCGCATCGAAACTCACTCGATATTTACCATATTTTATCACAAGTAGTGTAGACACTGAGCTTCCGATTTTAATTGCAACCTGACGTCTTCTCTTTAGGGCATATAAGTGATCGTTGATCAGGTCATTTATAACGCTAATAGGAGTCAAAGTACCTTCTATCGAAATGTGAAACAAACTAAAGAACCTCTACTGCAAACGTGTATTGTACATGCGACAGAAATGAATCTTCTGAATGAAGGTATCTTCTGGTTACAGAGAATAAAGACATAGGTAGAGAAAATCCAGATCTATCAATAGTTTGACGGTTCATATTCCACCTTAAGTCAAACTTTTATCAAACCACATTCTTCACAATTAACGACTATGTTACAGACAATTCAACCATCAATTTTTGTTACTACAGTGAGGAGATCGGAACACCTATTATTAGATTTCCAATGTTAACATGTAAACACTTATTCATCAATTACTCCTTACCTACCAACATCAAGCACACTACCTACCCTGAAAAAGACCTACGACTGCGGACCTATTGGTATTGCTACAACACCCATAACTTTGATCCTATTCACAGTGGGAGAGCCATGGCGCCTCCAGGCAGAAGTCATTCTATGTACATTCACATCTAGGTAAGAGCCTGTATAGAGTGCTTTTCGATTCACACTCCCCAACAAATTCATTCCTGTTCTACGCAAACCACCCAAGAACACTACAGTACCTTTTCCCTATTTGTATTCACTTACTGTATCAAACTGTTCCTGTCAGTGACATGGTGTAAATATGCTATAAGAAATAGATTCTTATACTTCATCTAACTGCTATGACTTCTGCAATAAATGTGGTAGCATTTGTGACGATTTGATCCAGTCTGTAAGCTAGTATGCCTCTCGAAACATTCTGTTTTCGCAAACCTTTCCAGTTCTTCTTGCTATGAATTTGTGGTTAAACATTCCCTCTTCATAACTCATCATTTACCATTTGATCAAAATAGTCCGTTAAGTGACCTCCGTTCAATGATAATCACATACTTCAGTTAGTAAGGCCTTTCGCAGCGTGCCACAAAAGTATCTCCTTTTAAATCTTATCTCAATAGACATACAATATACAATTCTATCCTGATTTAATCATGGTCTAATTTTACGTTCTAAATCTTGTTACTCCGAATCTGTGAACAAAGCCAGTGAAGTTATGGGAATAATGACTAATGTCGTGCTCTTTCGCTATTTAATAATGACGTGTGCTCACTTTTCAATACGGTTAACTTTTCCTGATGACCTAAAAGTAGTATACTCATTCTCATCGCCAACCAAAGAAACATTTGCTTCAGTGGAATAAGACATTGAATGTTGATAAAAGCGTTGTCCTTAGTACTATCCGTAGCTCTGACCTTAATTCTGTTCTACACAAACACATACTGAAACCTCTAAACATTGTTCAGAATTCGGGTGCAGGGTACAGCAACAGCTGTAACTTTCTCAAGCACACTGCACCTCAGATACCTAAAGTATTGGAGCGCATAGAAATCATAACGAGAAATTCAATAAGACTGAATACAGATTATTACACAAGCGTGTAAGGCATCCTAGTTTACAGTAGCTGAAGGCACAGCCATTTGATGAAATATGGAAGCGTTTAACGAAGATCCATGAAGGTGCTAGTATTGCATTCCTATCATAAATATTATTTCAGAAGATGTCAACAACATAATTTGGAACCTTATTGAATCATACGAACTAATTAAACCTTGTCGTTATGTACCGGCCTACAGGTGGCATTTCTTTCTCTCTTGCATCCACTCCTTCTTAATCTATCTTGACATCTCACAAGCTTCACAGTGGGGAAATTATCCTATCAAATCGAAGAAATTAAAACAAGTTATTTTAGCATATCTTCCTCCTTTACTTTTCAGATTTGTAGAAAAGAAATCCAGCAAGCCCATATCACTTTAAAACTATGACCTAATTTCATGGATGACTTCCTACACGAAAAGGTTTGCGTGTTCTGTGAATTTAAGAATGATTTAAAAAAAGTTCGGTACCTGTGTAATTGACTGATGACCTCCAGATACACCCAAATTGTTTAATTTCACTACTCCACAACTCATAATTCGTGATAACATTTTACTTAACACTTACTGAAGTTAATTACCTTTTATCGTAATTAAACTTCACCACTTATATAAGACTCAAACAAGTAGACACTTGACGATTTTTATGCTATTAACTGTAAATCTCATCGCAACATTACAGACTGTTTGGATTTGAACTTTTATTCCGCCATCAAAATATACTATAATAATGACCTCTTCTCATTTATAATAATAATAATAATGATAATAATTTATTCTCAAACAATAACTTGTTACAAGAGGCATGCCAATTTACAGGCAACATCAATATGCTAAGACTGCTAACATAGTTTTTGTAAAAAGTTGTTCGGTTGCTGAAATATTTCGAAAGATAAATTGGCTTCATGTAGATGGCTAAAAGTTTCCACGTAAAATTATCCATAGTTTTCCATACTCTGCAATTCGCAATGCGGATAATTGGTGTGAGACAATGCAAGGTAGAGACAGGTCTGCCTATAAAAAGAATCGATGAGGTAAATATGCTAAAATCTTGTAGACGTTCGTCAGCTAATAGATTTACAAGCTCCAGAGTAAAGCAACCGAGTCTTCGGCAAATATCCAGACAAATATTTGAGAATCGCCATAAGGTGCTGCAAAAGAGAAATAAGGAGAAAGGGGCGAGGAGTAGAACAGAAAATATTCTTGTTTAAAGCTGAGTCGTGAATCAGTAGATACTTTTTTAAAAATTAAAACACTAACTGTACGCCTGCACTTATGTAGGTCAATGAAGGCAACTGACGAGTAAGATAACGAATGGGTGATTAATCGTATCAATAAAGGAAATTCAGAAGCACGGAAATGTTAGTAATAATGTCGATTTACAGAATACGATGATGAATCACAGTGATCTGATGCTTTTGTGATGCTTGTAATAGGATTTATTAGTAGGGAGTTAAAACCAGTGCAAGTTTATGAACAGGAGTCTTAGACGAGGTTAACAAGAAAAGGCAACATCAATATCATCCCACTATATCGTAAGGAGCCGTGAGTAAACAAAATGTTCTGCCCCAGAGACATGGGCAGATTGAGGTAGTCGTCCCACCGTCATGAACGCTTTTCAGATACACCACCCCCTGCCTTTGTGATGTTGGACTTCCTTACGTTTATTGGTAGATTTGAAAGAATGTTTTTTAGTCTGCGCTCTATTTTTTGTACACCTTGTCGGAATACAGTCTCTCCACTAGCTACACGGTACAAGCAAACCAGACAACTTTGCCTTCAGTGTGTGCAGCACGTACAATATATTTTGCGTATGTTCGCTTCCATAAAAATTTAGACTGAATAATTTTCACATTCATTTTCGTTTCCTTTGTTTTCGCCCACTTTCTTATTTTCCAATATCTTTACAACAGGCTAGTGTAAACCAAGTGATATTTTATCTTCGAATATAGTTCTTTCCGTACGGTTTCAATTATCTGGTAGTGTGCAATGTCTAGCCACTCGAATGCACTAATTCTAGTTAGTTGGTAGTTGCTTGTGAGTTTTTATGTCCGTGGTTTGAATGAATAAGTTGGTTTCAGAGCAGTAGGGCTCCTGAACACCAGCGACTATTACTTTACCAAGACGGATATCAGTTAGTTACACGTGGAGAATAATTAGAATAAAATCCTGATGTTATTAAGAAGATATCAGAATTAAGTAAAAACAGACAATTTAGTTTATTAACTGGTAGTGAAGACTGTGTGAGAGGACTGGAGTGAAAGCTAGGATGAAGAAGCGGAGATAATCAGAGAAACAGATTAAGTTAGATAATCTGAAGTAATGCCAATGTTAACAACTAGAAAGTTTCAAGACATGCGTCAGGCACAGCTGGTCTGTAAGTACATGCTTATCAAGTTTCTTCATAAGGTTGTACGCTGAAGGGGCTTTGGACACCACTCGTAGCGCATTCCGAGTTGCTACGACTCTTAACGAGAGAGTGTGAACGAACCTGAGTGTTTGCTCTTAGATGCGCGGTATGGTGCTCGCGTCGGGCTGCTGTGACATGCTTAATATGTTGTACGCCATAATCAGATTAGCTCTGATTCTCCTGTAACTGAGGGTGAATAATTTTAAGTGCTGGAGTCTATCGTGGTAGGTTTTCGTATTCAACCCTATCACTGATTTTGTTGCTCGTCTCTGTACTCGATCAAAGAGATTGATTTCTCTTTTAAGTAGAGGTGATTACGTTGTGAATCCCAATGTGCACGCGCACATGTCTTAAACAACGTTAAGTATAACTGTGGGGTGATAGCATCAAGTTGCATCAAGATTAGCATTTGCCTTGTCTGTATATCCCATCTAGTTCTCAATGCTGTCAAGGATTTCATAGATTATTAAATTGAGACCATGCCTTGAGGAAACATGAAGGAGCCAACTTCCTTTTAGTGTGTAGGTCTCTCGCGCCATGTGGGGCAAAATTTACATAAGAAAACGTTTCGAATTTATTAGTTTTAAACTGCTTTCCACTGCTGATTCCTCAGTAGATGTAAGGTTCCTTTGAAGTGCATTTAATTTCTCTTTTCCTCTAATAGACCTCCAGATCTCCGCATCATCTAATTAGATCAATGACATTGAGCAAACTTTGTCTAATAGATAGTTAATGAATATTGGGAAGAGAAGTGCAACTTAGGTGGTCCTTTGTGAAACTCTCGATGTTGAAACTTTAAGTTCAACTAAATAATTTTCACTTTATCAAACGTGTTTAATTCAGATGAATCTGAAGGATTTGAAATTCTTGTGCGTAAATATATTTTCGATACAGCCTGGAATAGTTTATTTACATTACTTATGTATGAATAATCCATTTGTAAATGATGATGATAATTATAATAACTCATTGAAATACTATCTGATTTCCGGACCAGTGCAGTCAGATAGGCTTCATCCTTATTATGAATATAAACTAACTATTTCACCTAATAAAAGCTCATAAATCAATTAATAAATTCTTGAGAAGAAACGTTTGCTGGGGATCCATGTAACATAAATCTCTTACAGTTCTCGATTACAAGTAACTTAAAATGTAAACTACATTTGACAAGTGACACTGAAGAAGTGATGAGAATAATATCGTATTTGATAGAAGTGTCCACACTATTGAAAGTCAGTCCATAAAATTAAGTAACCCGCATCTTAATGAATAAATGTTTCTCACTATTTCTGTTCACAGATTTGAGCGGTTAGTTTGATTTTGACGGTTACGGCGTGGCCTTGACGCCTAACCTTGTCCAGATGACTGTAGATGAAGTAATTATTTTATTTTTGTAAATGCCTCAGGTGTTAACTCGTATTTTGAGTGAATATGTCATCACCATAAAAACTATGGTTCAAAACTGCAACAATGAAACCTTATCAGTCGATAAACTCATTCTATTGTATATCTGAAAAATTTTAGTATTTAGTCGTTCGTTCGTTTATCAATTTTTAGTGCTGGTTGCGCTGAAAAGTTTTCTTGTTACCTAGTGTACTTTTGAATATTTTTTTTGCTCACTTTACCTTATATCTTTCACTAGCTGGTATAAATCAATTGATTTCTTGTTCTTTCGGTAGGGTTACAGTTGTCTCATAGTATCCAATAAATGGAAGTCTAAACATTCGACTGTCTGATTCCAGTCAGTTGGCAGTTGGTTGTTAGTTCGCATGTCTCATGACTGGAGTGTAAACGTTTGTTTCAGGGTAGTAAGGTTTCTTGATATCACCAGCTATCACATCACCAAACCGGAGATCAGTTATTCGCAATAAAAATTATCGTGGCACATATCTTTGGAATAGTAGTTTTCACTGCTGTAGTTCAGTATTCATTTTCCTTGTATACTTAAAAACATTCTTTTGCTGTTATCACTGGACAATTCTTTTTTGGGAATATATGAGAATAGTACTGTGATACGAACCAAATGTATACTTATACTTTATATACATTTTGTTTGTAAATGTAGGTGCCATTCAGACATATTGTTTGATTTCAGAGCATCAATGAATTTTAGTCTTGAATCACATCGTTTTTCTTGTTTTCCTCACAACAAGTGCTAATACCTACTGATTAAGACCAATGATATTGTATTTCAGTCTGCCCTAGTTTACTTCATATGTCTTATTAAGTGGAGATAGAGAAATGCAGTTTTTCTGCTGAATCAGTAATTGCAAATCCCTTGTCCTTAAAAAATGCACCCTTGTATACGATAAACTTTATATTATTTTCTAATAATCTCAGAACCGCCCAAATTTCGATGTGACAGGCAAAACGTTTTTGGCTCCTATGGTACGTGTTTCGACACATCCTATGCGCCTCCTCTGTCTGGAATATGGTGCAGATTATGTGATTTCTGAAGTATGTTAGACTCTATTGCATAAATTCACCAAATTATATTATATTAATTGTTCCTCTTTAAAGTTTTGTAGCAGTGCATTATTTTGGGGGCTTTTTTGGTTACTGGGCTCGAGTTAAAATTCATCTACACAGTTGACTATGCGATGTTAATTTAGGAATCTTCAGGAATATTTTTAGTTTTCGGATGCTGAAATTATTTATCGTAGATCTTACTTTTAAAGTACACCTAGTTGTAATCCCAGTCTTATTGGCTTATTCTATTAGTTTTCCAAAACATAAACATGATGTATTGTGGTATTCTTTGTTGCAAGCCTACAATTTAACTAACAAAGGCTTGAGCGAATTGTTATTCAAAAGGTAACCGAACCTATGTGGCTTCTAATGTATGTTTAATTTTTAGTCAATGTGTTTAATGCTACGTAGAAGTTTATTGGCTTCATTTAAGTGTTAATGGCATTTGGCATCCTTTGAGTACGTCGAGCAGTCGAGTTCAACTAGTTTTGTGTTGCAAAATAACGAGAGTTATACATGAAATTGGAAACCTATTGGGTGATTAAAAGCTCACAATTCTAACTTCGTTACTTCCAGTACTTCATAATTTTCTCCAGTATGGCGGTGTCTATGTGGTTAGACTCTTAGTTGCCAATATTTGAACCCCGGACTACTTTTCTCGTTCTTAAAGCTGGCTGATATAATCTATTACAACACAAGCATTTCTCAAGCTAGTATATTCTCTCAAACAGATATGTCACCAATTCTGTTGAAGTATATTGAATTTAATAGTAACATTTTATGTTCTTTAATACCTAACGTTTTCAGGAATTGATCGATCAAAGAATTATCCGTTCTTCAAGGATAGTAAATGGTAAGCATCAGTTAAATTGTATCTTTTATGAGTTCTTCATGTTTTTTTTTTCATTAGCTGAATTAAATACCATTGACTTCGTCTTACCCGATGGTTCTGTTACATTTCGTACATCAGCTGAAGAGAAAAATCGTGTTATTGTCCAATTAGTATGTAGCTCATTATTTTTTTACTAAATAACGTCAATCATAATAATTTATAGGGGACTCCAGAGCCTGGAACAGCTTTACAAGCAGCCAAAATGCTGTAAGTTTTCTCTGTTCCATTTATTCCAAATTAAACAGAGAAAATGATGTTATGGGTATTGATGTGAATATGGGCTGTCCAAAAGCATATTCTGTAAAGGTTAGTATATATATTTTTATATATATGAGTGAAATAATAGTGACAATAGTAGTAGCAGAAACACTGATTTAGGAAAATAAAATCAGAAAGAATCCTTTTAGTTAAAAATGTTCCTCTTGCTTATGTGAAAAAAATCAGTCACATCAGGACTGCCACTGGCTTATATTCTGAGACATGTCTGACAACGTTTCAAGCCACTGAGCTGCACCATCTCTAGGAACCCCGACCAGGGATTCGTGAAAGACTAACAGATGCCGGTTCTGTACATCTTTCTCTCCTACCACGACACCATGTCATACACTGATCATTTCTATGCTTTTTCGAACCAGTCCCAATACTGGCATATAATGCATGATGTAGGATTCTCTGGGACGACATTCGTAGTATATTTCCTAGCTATTGAAGTTGGCGTTTCAAGGCAGTGACACCGACTAAGTTATCGTTTCTGTACCTGAACACACGTTGCCGAACCTATTGTCACTAAATATCAGCTAAAAACGGTGATCAAACACAGGAAGTTTTCCAATATCTTCTACTCTAAGAGACCAAGTTTCACAAGCATAGAGCGAAACTTCTCTCACGGGCGCCTTGTAGACCCGACCTTTTGCAGTCAGACTAACATTATAAGGGCGTCAAAGATGGCTATGAGAATGAAACCCTACCATAATTTTTCCATCGTACAAGATGCCGGTGGATATTATTGGTTGATGTCCCATCAGTCTCATAGATTGTTTCATTCACACCAAATATCTTGCTACCTGTCTCTGGAATAAGTTTAGAGAGCTTCCGATAGCTACAAGATGCAGCTACTACCTCCAGCTCGTTATCGCGCTCCGAATACCAGGTTTCTCACTTTTCACCCAAACTTTAATTACGTAACGGTCTTCTATCTTCAAAATCGTGGCTACCCGGAGTAGACTGACATGCCCCAACTAGTCCGAAGGAGCCTGTTGAAAGCCAGTGCTAATGATAGTGATGTTTTGCGGAGCCGCAATCGTCTTTACTCGCCATGTTCATGGTGTTGTACTATTGGAACCGGTTCTGGAGCCCTTATGCAACATCGATTTGGCGTCAGGGTCTTCCAGCTCCTCTAGGTGGATCTACCATACCATCCAAAACGGTTTAATCGCCCGATATTCACTTTTCATCCTCTAAATTTCGTAAACAACACGTGTATCACGAGAAGGCAGTAAGTAAAACTTCGCCGATAGTGGTTATATACTCATTGCCATATGAGAGCATTTCAAAAGACAGAGCGAACTCTCTTCAATGTCGACCGTACTCGGGCATTCAGGAGCTATCATACGTTGACCGACATATCAATAACCCTTTACATTAGCTTACATAACACCTCTAAATTGAAGTAGTTTAACATTCGTATGAAATGTGCCGAAAACTGTAGTTCTTCCGTTTGAGTTTCCTAGTGAGATGGTGGTTGAAGCTAGTCGACAAGAAACCCTGGACCTAGGTTTTGTTCTATTTGGTACTCTTCAGCCAGGTATACGTGTAATCTTGAGGGATCTGATGCTTCTTGGCGAATTCGATCTCATGTTACCCAACTTCACAGTTTAAGACGTTATCACTGAGTTATCCGTCCTACGACTGATCTCCTGTAGAAATGAGATATATTAAAAATTGATTGATTACCGGGTGACAGTGACCGATGTCATGTGTTTCAACTCCTTCCTAATGCTGATCGTATTCTATTGATCCGGTTGCAATGTAATCACTAGTATTTAATATCGTAAACCTTTTATGATCACACATAAGTTTACATAGTCTATGTCCTACATAAGGTTATTTTATTTGTTAAATAACAAAACTTTTTCAACTTGTTGTAAATATATTGAAATCATGAATGAATCATTGTTAGACCAGCATTAGAAACCTGGAAGCACTAGATGACCGTTTCATCCTGGTATGAGACACATCAGTAGTGCGCATCCTCGAATCCCGCTATTCGCGGTACTCGAACTTAAGACCTTTGGTTTTGCACGCGAATGCCTAACCTCTGCACGACTGAACAAGCACTCAACGGTGTTCATATCTAACTTTGATCAATGTAAGGTTTTGCGCAACCTCACCTATTGTCTTCGATAGTTATTGCCTACTCCAGACAGGGTTGAACTCCACTAGTCTATCTCTTGTCACTAGAACCGCGAGAATCTTCTCACGAAGCTAGTCACTAGTGTGCACCTTTCTGATGTTTCTTTGATTTTTTGCTGTTGTAAATCTTCATGGTTAGTCAACACAAATTATACTTACCATCAAATTTGTACTATGTGCTCTAAAAATTTTTTTCTTGATTTTTTATTTCTTATTTTAAGGGTGGAATGGGTGCAGCCTTATTGACAAAACCAGAAATTGTTAAAGAAGTAAGTTGATTATCAATAGATTATTAATGAACTATTACGAGTTTACCTTAGTCGGGGAAACGAGAGCGAGGATCGAGGATCCGGTGACACGACATGCTACTCAAATCCGATTATCCCAACCCCCATATTTAGTAAAAATAAGAAGACGTGATATGAAGTAGAACATGTATTCTACAAGCATCCAGAAAGTACGAGGTCCGAATCCAGAAGAGAATCAGGATCCCGGACTAGGGATCCGGGACCGAGCCCTGGTCCTGGTCGTGGTCATAAAATGTTACAGATAATGCGTATTTATACATTAAAGACTAATAGAAAATAGCATCGAATTCTGTGACATTGACAGTTAAGACGACCAATAAGAAGTAACATTTGAAGTGACATTGACAATCAGGACGACCAATAAGAAACAACATTGGAGTATGTGACATTGATATCTAGGACGACCATAAAGTTGACCAGTAGGAATTAATCAATAGGAATTGACCAATAATTCTCTTAGGATATTGGATGAATATCCTAAGAAATTTATCATGTACACTTGAAAAATTTTCCCAGATTTTATGGTCGATTTTTTAATCTATTGTTACATATATATTCGTTTACAAAAGCAAACAAGTAAAAAAAACAAGACTAATTGTAAGATTTAAAAGTATCCAGTGGTTGATATTTAAGACTACAATTAATCAATCAGTCAATCTCTTTTGGTATATGTTTGTTAATGTGGAACGAATTGCCACTATAGTCTCATTAAGTTACAAGCATTTTCAGGCATAGTTTAGATAGTTACATTAGTTCACTACTTGTGTTTTACCGTATTCGGAACTAGTCAATTAAATGTAGATTCACTTTGGTGTTTAAATTTATTAGACCTAGTCGCTATCACTTGAAATTTTATTCTCTGGAATACAGATATATTCTGTTGATAAGTCGAAAATTAAATGAAATCCATCTATTAAATTTCATTGTTGAGCCTGTTCTAATAAATCTTCAATACATTCAATCAATCTCGTTGGTATATGTTCATCCTGTGCGGATTGTTTTGATATGTCGCCTTTAGGTTACAAGAGTTGTTAGCGCGTTTAGTCCTATCTGAGACTCATCGGCTGGGTGTAACTGCACCCTAGAGTTGATATTCACTCAGAGATTTGAACCCAGTACCGTCCGTTTCAAACACTGTCGTGTTATCAGCTTCGTAAAAATTCCAGAGTAAACTTTTGATTGAAATGTATTTTCGGTAATGGAAAAGATTAAGGATCGAAGTACATCCCAGCTCAGAAAATTTAAAATGAAAGATCACGAGGAATTTAAGAGATCAGGATTTGAGAGAAAACAATGAGTAAATGCATCTGTACGATAGTCATTCAAAGTTTCTAACCACCCATTACGATTCTATCGTGGGCCTCTACCAGATAGTCTACACGTACTAGGCTCAATCTAGTTGTCAGTGACTTTATACATTTGTGACATGTTTTGGTTTAGCTGCCCCTACCTTACTTCTAGCCTTCCTCTCTATCAGACAACATGGCTTGTTGAATTAGCTGGTGATTAAGCATACGTAGCTCATGTCCCGACCACCTGAACTAATGTAGATTCACTACTTCATCAATTGATCTGCCATCCTTACGTACTACCCTTTTCTTAACACCAACATGGCTTACTCGGTGCTCTCAGGATATACGAGCAATGCTTCGGAGAAATCTATAATCGAAAACTACTAACGTACGAATATCCTCTCTCTTACTTGTAAAACGTTTATGTGTTCCAGTTAATATAGCTCGACCACTGCGTCAAAGTAATGGCTACAGTCATGACTCCGGACTGAAGTTAAAATTAGGCCATCTGACGCTGGCTATAAGAATATCCTAGGATTAATGATCCCTGCTGAGATATTGGGTGCTCACTGTTGAGTCGTCTCACATTAGGAAGAAACAGCTACTCAGTTCTTTGTGCTTTTCAATAGTACCTTAAAACTAGATCAACCTGTGAAGAATATTACTTACAAATTAGACTAACCCGTCCTAAAGTCACTTCCACTAAACTATCCTCATTATTTTTTTTTGTTTGCAGATTCTTACAACTTTGACTACAAATCTTCGAATTCCAGTTACCTGTAAAATAAGGATTTTGCCTGAAGTATGTAATGATGTCTTATTATTCTGTATTTTCATTGAAGAATTATCTCTGTGTATGATAAATTTATATAAATCTATGGTAAAAATGGTAGGCCCATAGGTAGGCATAAATTAATTAGTCAACTTTCAAGTGAACCTAAGATAAAAATTAATTTTGTAAAAAGATTTATTTACCAATTTAGAATATTTTAAGTTCTTACTCCGAAAATACCCGAAAGTGAAGAGATTCCTGTCACGCTTTTCAAAATGCCTTTATGACCAAGCGTGTATAACCACTGCTAACGAAGTTCTACTTACTACCTTCTTGCGGTACAAATGTTGTTTATGAAATTCATAGGATGGAAAGCGAATATATCAGGTGATTAAACCGGTTTGGCTGGTATGGAAGATTCATCTAGAGGAGTTATAAAATCTTGATTACAAACCAGTAGTGCATATGGGATCCAGGATTGTGATGCAACGAATAGCGTATAAACCTATTGTTGGTCACTAGCTACCATGGGACTGTATTGACTGCTATGTGGACTAGGCTTTTTGGTCAAAGTGTCCGAGAGTGGCTCCTTAAGAAAACCAAATGATTCAGTTTGTGCACACACACAGAAATTCATTGATTTGTGTTAAATACTACAAATATTGAAAGTTTAATTTTTTCATTCTTTTTCGGCATTGATGTACTGATATCTACTTGCTTAATTTGAAATTACAAAAAGAAATGTTGTGGATTGGTAACTTAGTGTTTAACGTGTTTGACTCTCACTCATTAAATCTCAAGTTCTAGCTCTAATCCATTTACTTGTGTTTGGCCAGCTAGCTGAGTAGTACCATAAAGCCTCATACTAATTAATGTAGTGTGATTAAAACTCTATACTCGTTAAATCA